CTACTCAGGGAAATTTGCACTCCAGCACTGATTTTGCCTCTGGCCTGTTGCTTTACCTTGTCCTCTGCCTATAAAATGGAGATAAAGGTGTTTATTGCTTTTTAAAATTAACATGGGATACAAAGCACCATATAAAATCAAAGCATTTTGCATCATAACTAATGATTGCACTGTCTCCATCACTCTGGGGAAAATACATAAATAAATAAATAAAAGGAAATAGCAAAGTAATGGCTCTCCACTGTAGTTAGAAAATCATGCCCCATTTTTGGGTCCAAAATCTCTGGCCTTACTCATCTCTGGCTACCCATCATCCTACAGCTGCCAAATTCTATTCAATATTTCATTAGTGACTTGGATGGTATACCAGAGTGTGTACTTACAAAATCAGCAGATGAAGAGAGGAGGGTTCGAGCAGGCTAAGGGTCAAGATCAGAATCCAGAATGAACCAGATAAATTGGAAAGAGAGTTTTAAATCAACAGGATGCGGTTCAATAAAGGCAAGTTTGACGTGCTACACAGGATAAAGAGAAAATGAAAATACAACTACAAAATGGGAAGTAACTGGTGATGCCACAATAAAAAATAAAAAATATAATAAAAAATAAAAAAGAGAGACTTACGTTTGTACCACAAAGAGGATACAGATCAAGCACACAGTAGTACAGACAAAACAGCAAGCCTCGATGCTAAGTACATTAATGCAGTGTCAACCACCACATAGGAGATATTTCTTCCTCACTCAGATGAGACCTCAATATGTAGCCAGTTTTGCATGGGGTGTTTAAAATAGCAAGCAGACCAGTTAGACAGAAGCCAAATGAGAATATTAGAAAGATACATACACACACACAAAAAAAAAAAAAAAAGCAAACAAACAAAAAAAAAAAGCTATGAGAAAACGTTGAGGGAGTCGATAGCAAATACAAAGGTTTTCTGTGAAAGGTGGGAATAGGGAATTATACAGCTTATTTGGAGTGGATTTAGAGATGATTTCAGTCATTAGAATGGTGAAACAGGGAAACTGGCTGGGTAGGACTGGTGTGGCAGCTCTTTAACTGGAAGGCTTTAAGGAATTTAAGGAAAAGGTCAGTTAGGGTATAGCAGGTCAGTAGGTACATTTGTCTGTGCACGTCTAAGACATGATTTGATGACCTTTGCAGACCCCCTTCTGTCTTTTGTAAGTCCTAAACTGGAAAATCCCATGTTACATTTTTACTGTGTGCTGAAAGTGCACTGCATAGTCATAAGTTTTGTGCTTTCATTTTATTTTGGGATTATTTCAGCTTTTGAGAAATATCTTTTATTTAGAGCAGAAAAAGCAACAAATAACAGGGATCAGGCATATAAAAGCATATGCAGGTTGAATCTTTACACAATACTCACATGCTTATCAAAGAAAACGTTAACAGCAAAATAAGCAGGCAAGGAGAAGCTACATAAACCTAGAACATACAAACCAACAGCAGCAGAATTTGCTTGTAGGACCTGGCAGATTGCCCAGCACACTCAAGGGGACTCTCGTCCATTTGGTGTTTGTTCATTCTTCCCCACACTCTTGCCCTCAGTGCAGAATGCATTCAACCCTTGAATATCAAGAGCCAGTGTATGCCAGCCCCTTTCCTGATTGCTGCTTCTTTGTTTAAATTACAAGCTCTCAGCAGCAAGCACCTTGTTTCATATTATACCACAAAACACCCACCACTGTGCTGATGTTCTAACAAAGACAGACAAGACAATAGCATTTCAAAAGGCTGATTAAGAAAAGCCATTACTCATCTCCAGGGTCTCATACAATCCCTTTCAGGAAGATGAATAGTGCTACAAATATAGGCCTTTGTGAATAAGGCACTGAGACGATAAGAACTTAATTTCCATAAGAGGGAAGATATACGTTTAAGTTATAACTGTTCTTATTCTTGTGTGAGCTTCTAGTCAGAATTTAACTGTAGCATCACTAAGCAAATAAAAAGATAGGGTATTGTTTAAGCCATTCTACAACATATGCTGTAAATTTGTAAAGACAGACTTTTGTCAGTAACCACTATGTGATAAGAGAGTATACAGTTAATGAAGAAGACCACAAGCCAGTAAGTCTGTTGAATGATGTAGAATGGTCTGGCCTAGCTAACCTTTCTTTATTACATGAATCCTCCAAGCTATAGTAGTGTCTTGAACTTCAGCCTGCCTCAAACAGCTAAAACAAAGGCTCGCATTGAAAGGAAACTAGACAAAACACACAGTTCTTGAGGTGCTAAAGAGTCATGAATACATGATGATTATTACCATTAAAGATTTACTGATATTACTGGAAGTTAAATGTGCATCCAGAGGAGGAAAGTCTTTGGGTCTATAATCTGCCAAAAATAAAGCGTTCAAACCACAATGTTTGCTAGCAGGAGAAAGAGAAAGTTCTTTCATATTTATGCTATTGAAGCATTCGCTTTTCTGGTTTTAAAAATAATGCACATGTGGGTTTTAAAGCATTTCACAGCAGCATCAGACAAAGACACACTGTGTATAAAAGCTTTATTTTAAGTGATCCCCAGTACTTTTTATCATGTTTTTGGCCTTAAAATTCCATTAGGGAGCAAAGATTGCATGTCAACCATACTTCTTCAAACAGCTGTTTTTCTCTCTTCTGTGTTAGTTCTTACAGCTTAAAGATCTAATAGTATTTAGGAATCCTCGTAGGCACCAAATATACCTGTATTATGCATGTCCTGCAGAAGATTCCTGCACTATGACTGCCATGACATATTTAATGTCACACTTGACCTAAGTTCTTTCAAAAATCAACTTAATACATCACCCCATCACATTAAAAAAAATAAAAAAATAAAAAAATAAAAAAAATCCCAACTGTAGCACCAGGGACTACTCAAATACTCCAAACAGCAGGATGTGAGGGACTCAATTCAGGCTGGATTCCTGAGTTCTGACGAGAGAAAAGTAGGGATACACAACCCTTTAGTTGAATTCAAAAGCAATAAAATCTAATTTTTTTAAGACATGACTCTCCAGTGGTGGATCACCTTACGTGGAAGACAAGTGCCACCACAAGGCTGATGTGCATGATTTTGCCAATGCCTTCAGAAACAGAAATCACAGCTGACAGTCAAGAGTGTTTCCATATTAAGATGTACAAAAATAAACTAGAATTCCTTAGGGAGAGTCCTTTCCTAAACAATTAAGTCTCAATTAGAGATTCCTCCTGCATTTAAAAATACTTACCCAAAGACTTAGAAATGCCTGTTGGCTATTCCATTGCTAAGCCAAAAATGTCAAAATAAACCTCTTCAGACTTAAGCTTCCCTTACTTGGAAGAAAAAAAATACTCAAAAACTAAGCTACAATTCTAGCATGCCTTATATTGTCAAAGAGCAACAGAAGACTCACAAATATAGATTCCCCCAGTGTCAGAAAATATGTAGAAAGCTGTTACAACAGATGGGTTATTATAAGATTTCTTTTAAAAAGAAGGGAAAAAAAATTGATAGCCACTGTCAAGCACACCCCTCATCTTGGTGTTCAAATGTAATTTCTACTTTTTTCTCTTTCCCTGAAATGAAATAAGGGCCTCAAAGAATCTTTAATGTGGGGTCCCTTTAAGCCTGCTAAACTGTAATAGCAGAACATCCATGCTGCAGGAAATTAATTAATTCTGTAAACTGTCAGCATGTGGAGCAGGTGGCTGGACTTGTCCTAAAAGAGCAGCATAAAGCCTGTGTTTAGGTTTACTTCTGCAAAATATTACAAAATCTAGAGACAGAAAAACAACAGAACAGCATGGATCTGCTCCCGGCCAGCACTAAGTTCTCCAGATATGTTAAGCAAACAGGAAGGCTTTTTTATTATTTTTATTAGCAAATGTGGAAAATTATGTTAAAATACAGGAAAAGGATCTCCCACAAAGGAAAAACTGTGTTTTTCTTCACATCACACTGATGTCAGGGTTGTAGATTTGAATGACAAAAGGGACACACAGCTGCTACTTTTTATTCTGATGAGGTTTGTGAAGTAAGCACAGCCAAGAGAGAATGAGCCCCATCCCCAGCTCCACTGCTAAGAAAGGCGAATTTGTTCTTTTCTCTGTGGAAATCCACTGAGATGTCTCTGGATGCAGAAAACCTTGGATATTCTCCCTGGTTACATTGGGGGTTTTGATAGGTTTTACTGTCAGGTGGAACAAAAAGAGCATTTAATGTTCAAATTTTCAACTCCTTCAAGCTACACTGTGTCTCTCAGCAGTCATTCTGTGTCCCTCTCTTTCCTTCTCCATTCACAGGTAAGGGAGTCATGGACTATTACACCACCAAAAGTCTTGGTGTGGGAGGGGTAGAAGGATTTTACTTTTTTTTTTTTTTTTTAGGTTCCCCGTTGTCCTTGAAGACATCTCTCAAATTGCTTTCCTCTCTGACACCTGCCATGGCCTCTGTATTTACACAACATCATGCTGAGGACACAGCCTGTCATTACACATGCAGACTATTTATCTTGAGTTGCTTGGGGGTGTGATTCTCAATAGCACCACCAGTGTTTCAGCACAGAAGTCTACCACTGTGCAAAGAAAAATGAAGGCAAAAACAGTGCTGGAATTCATGTCATCAGAAGAATATTACAGGCATGCCAATCAGGAGAAAATATGGAAACCCTCAAAAGAAATATTAAACTCCATAATTTACTTTTTGTTTTTCTCTCTCTTGACAGGTGTGGACTTACAGGCTTATTTATCTGTACTCTGAATATATTAAAATTAATATGAACATTACTATTTCATATAACTTCATATGTTATATAACATATAACTTTTCCTAGTAATACTCCCTATAACAAAAGTGGTCCTGAAGTACCTTTTCCATCACATAGCTCAAGGGAATTAGTTTGTTCAGAGCCATCCAGGTATGAGGAAATGCAGCACAAAAATGTCTTAACTTTCTTTGTGGATCTAACTCAAAGATAATTTATTGATACAGGCACCAGGTATATCATTTGCATCTTATATATTAATAATGTATGAGAATCTTTCTGCTAAAGAATACTTCAGATTTTTTTTTTCTTAGAAGAAATAATTTATACACTTATTGTATCCTATTTTTGTAATACAAAAGTTTCTTTGGATTTCAGGCATTCCAAACTTACCTTAGTTTCAGGTTCATGAAGAGCAATCAAATTATAGTAGAAAAGAAACTTGAAAATTTGTATTTAAACATGCAGTTACTCTTTTCCATTCATCTTCAGTTAGAGAACTCAGCTGTGCCTCCTTAATGTAGAAAAGAAAATGATAGGGCAATGATAATTCCCCTAAAACACTGCTTTTCCATAAATTTAGAACATTTCTTTGTTATAAGTGCAGATAGATACAGCAATTCAAGACAAATAGTGTGGAATATTTAATTAACTGAAGCTACAGGAGGATTTTCAGGTAGGCAGAATGTAATTATCCAAATTACAACTTATTCTCAAAATTATTATTAATTCCTGCAGAAATAGGAAAGTGTTTTAAAGACAATAAATCACAGGAATATGAGCTTCACATCACATCTGAAAGATGGTACCTCCTGCATTTTTTTTTTTCCATCACATTAAAAGGCCGTTTAGGCCAATGAGTGTGTATGCATAATGTATGCATACAGGCATACATGTGCACACAGAGGGAGGAGAAAGGCAGAGGTACTGCTATCTACTTCAGAATAAAGGACTGCCACTCATAAAACAGCTGATACCACTTGTGATTCTCCCCAGAGTCACACTGAATTTGTAAATTAGTATAACTATTCTTAACTCTAACAAATTAGGTCTGAAAACAAAAAGCTACATTGAAAATTTCCTATCCACAAATTTACAAGAAAACGTAGTCCTCATCCTTTTCAAGTTACACCTACATTATTTTTCTTTTACAATGACATCAATTTTTGTATGCTGTCATGCCCTAATGAACAAGAATAATATTTATTCACTTTTGAAAATAATTGTTTTTCTGATAAATCCCAATAACCCCAAGATTTGTCTTTAACCCCTCACAATCCTCTCTCGTATATATCATTGACAACAATGAAAAACTCTCTAATTAGAAAGGATTCTGTTATCCCAAGACTTCACTAGAGAGTTTAATTTAGCCTTTAACTTGAATCATAACACAGCTTTCCACACCTTCACTTCTTATGCAACCACATGCCCAGGTCCTCTGGGCATTAAACTGAGCAAATGCCATCATGCACATGCATTAAGAGACTGTCTTCTACCAAAAAAAAAAAAAAAAAAAAAATTATGATCTCGTCCATGCCATGAAGATAATACACCATCAACATCTTACGAGAAGAAAAATAATGAGCCTACAAATGCCTTATTTTTACCAAGTATAATGTTACAAATTTTCTTTTTTGTGATAGCGTCTCTGGCTTGCCCAAAATGCAGAGTTCAGAATAGCCTTAATTTTGTTTGTCAGCCAGTTGGCTGTTAATTTTTGTTATATGATTATTGGAGTTTTAATTTTTCAATACATTAATTAGTACATTTGTATTCTAATTGACAATTTTCATTATAGTCTCATGAGCAGCAAAGTCTCTCAGCTTTCAAGTATTTCAAAATCACTTGAGCTGTAACACTTTTTTTTCAGGTAACTGAACTCTACCGAGCTATGTACTGTCTACTAAGGGCCCTGCAGGCATGTCATGGTAAAGGGGTTTTGATGCTCAGCTGCTAAATAATTAGAAGGTAAAAGCCAAATGGAAATTAACTTCAGTTCAATCAGTCTTTATCATTCTACAATTATATCTAAAATGTTGTCAGATGCTGATTAACCAGGGCTGTTCAGAGCTGTTTTGATGAGGTAGTCAGAACTTGGAAAGGACTAAAAAAGTAAATACGTTAATTTGCATAAGAAGTTTTTGTTTGTTTGTTTAAAAAAGAAAAAGAAAGAAGAATAAAATCTGCTAACATGACAATTTTTGACATATGTTTTTTTTTGAACTAATGAGCAGTATCACCAGTATATTATTTATATGATAAAATTTAAATAGTAAGTCAGTCTGTCAACAGCAATAAGTCAAAAAATGAAATTATTTAATTTCTTACAGAAGAAGCATATAGGGACACAATATGTGCTTGAGCTTGTTAATAGCCTGTTTTTTTCTGCATCTGTAATAAAGTAAGACAGATCATTTGTCTCTGATGAACCTGCAAAATTTCCTTAATCAGTAAAAGCCAAGTGGATGAAACAATTTAGATAGCCATATAGAACTCCAACTCCTGTTATCAAATATTATTATCATTGTTCCTGAAAACTAAGAAATTTGAATATTATTACAAAATATATATAAACATATATAAAACCACAAGGAAATGACAGAGAAATGAAAGTTATATTAACAGTTATTTTAAATAAAATCTGGACAAAATATAAAAAGTATAAATTGGTAGATTACTTATATCACTGCTGAAGTACTTGAGCAGCATATCAGACATGTTTAGCTCTAGATGTGATGTAGATCACTTTTACACATTTCTTATCCCACAAGAAAACCTTTCATATTTCTTTCAGATCCTGTTTGAGAAAACTACAAAGGCTGCAACAAAGCTAAAAGACAGAAATTCTAAGTATATTCCTGGTAACTAAACACTAGGAACAAAATTGATGAAGTAGAGTTTTGAAGAACGAATGAATAGGTATATATTTAATTTAGGTAACTTCAGAACTACTTAATAGCAAACAGCAGAAAATTCATTTTTTCCTCCACAGGTCTAGGATATAAGCCATTTCCCATTGACAAAATCACACAGTATTCAATCAAACAGAATCAATCCTATAATTATTTCCAACTTTAATGGCGGTTGTATCTCTAAAACCGTTGCATAAGGAGGCTCAAGACAAAATGGCAGAATGTTTAGAGGTATTGTTTGGGTTTTTTTTAGTAGGAATGAAAATAACCTTGAGCTTTTAAAAGAGTAGTGACTGCTTAGACTAGAGGAAAAGAAGACAAAGTGGGGGAAAAATAAACTAATTTGTTGCAACCTGCATTGAACAAGGTCAAAAAACTAGAAGAGCTTCAAAAAGGATTTCCAACACAAAGTGAAGTCAACAAAAAAGATCTATTGTTTCAAGCTAAGGAGGTGGATGGTAGGTTAAAATAATTCATCCTACATCCCACCGATGTATCAACCCATCATACTGAAAAATAACCATGAAATTATTATCCATTCATCTTTGTTTGATATCCCAAAGATGACACCCCCAAAATAAAGCTTATGTGACTTCAGAATTTCTACCTAAAAAGAACCCACACCTTGCATTCTGTAATGGGATGTGTCAGAGTTCCCAAGAAGTGGCACTTAGCCTTTTGTGAGCTCAGAGGGGGAAAGACCCTTATCCTATAAAGAAAAACTCAGTAAGATACTCTGTAAATTGCCACATTTTTGGCTGTCCTCTTTCTACCCCACTGGTCTAAGAGATCCAACGTTTTTCCCCACAGGCAGATTACTTCTGATTACCTTAAATCACTTATTTCTTGTCTTTGTATCTGAATATTACTTCTTCAAACTCCTGCTTGACTTCTCTTATCTGCCAAAGTCCCTTTCATTTTATTAGAATAGTTTGGACTCCTAGTCTCTTTCTAAAGGATAGATTTTAGCTTCAATAAACTATTGTATCTTATCTCTTGAACACATTACAGGGGCTCTCTCCTTCCTCGATTTTTTTTCCTTTTTACATTCTGGGGTGTGCATACTGTTCCTTCTGTGATGCTAATAGGATGCTCTTTAAGTGCCTCCATGCTGAGTCTAGGATATAATATCCTAACTTTTTTCTTTCAGGCAGTTTCTAACTTCTTTTAAACAAAAAAGTTTCTTTCTTGTGGGTTAATATTGCTTTTTTTACCCCTTGCTGTGATACAATATTCAGCTTTCTGGCCTCACCACATTTCTTCCTATTTCCTCACAAACACTGATGACTACAGAGACCTATCCAAAGGTACATACTTGGTAGTTTTATCTCTGCCACTTTAGTTAACTGGTTTAGTAATTCTGCAATAACTTGTTCCACAAAGGATTATTTCACTTATCGTGCAGAGTAGGTGCAATTACCACATGTCGACAAGGACTAGCGTTCACCTCTAGCAAAAATCAGAGGAGCTGCAGAAGCCTCACATGCAGTTTATAACCACAGCTCTTCTCAGAACTTTTTTCACTGCCAGCTTGGCTGCATAAAAGTGTTATTTGTTATCTAAAGAACTTTTGAAAACGTTAGCTATCAGTTACTTACTATACTGCAAGGCCTTGGAGCTGTATCTATGGTACTGAGGTGAGAAAGAAAGCAAACATCTTTCCTTCCCACCCCAAGGTGGGGTTGCAGATGGGGGACAGGAACACTAGAGCTTGGCTGCTCCATGGGCAGCATGGGACTCTGAAACTCTCATTTCCAAGGTAAAAATAGCCTCTTGAGTCAGTTGTGGGTCTGTCCCATGCCAGTTCCAGCTGTCTCCATCAGCCCCAACCAAGGTTACCTCAGGGAAAACATAATTTGAAAGGGAAAAAAATGCTGGACAGATTGAGGAGGAGAGAAGGAAAAAAGTGAGAAACATCTGAGAGCACCAAGGTCAGAGAAGGAGAGGGCAAAGGTGCTCCAGGCACCACAGCAGTGATTCCCCACAGCCCATGGAGGACCCAGGCTGGAACAGGTGGAGGCTTCCTGAAGGAAACCGAGGACCACAGAAAGCCCACACAGATGCAGATTTATCCTGAAGGATAAACAGCCTGTGTGGAGACACCACACTGGATCAGGGAAAAAATGAGGGAGTGGATGAGAGGAGCTATTATGAACTGACTCCATCCCCATGTTCCCCACCTGTCCTGCACTGTTCAGGGATGGGCTGGGAACGTAAAGGACTTTGAAGTTAAGGTGAAGCTAACGTGAAGTTAAGCCTGGCAAAGGGGGAAGGAAATGTGTTGCTTTAATGTACATAATGTTTCCAATGTTTGTCTTATTGCTTCTCACTACTGAACCTATTTTAATTGACAATAAATTGATTTTCCCCAAGTGGAGTCTCTGCTGCCTGTCACAGGAACTTGTAAGCAATCTCATGTCCTTTATCTCAAACCACGAGTTTACTCATCCCATTTTCTCCCCCCATCCCGCTGAATGGGGAGTGGTGAGAAGCTGGGGACGTTTTTGACTGCTGGCCAAAGCTAACCTACCACACCAGCCCTGATGAGATGCAGGATTAAAGATACAATTCTTGACCATGTTAGCATGGGGTAAGGCAGGGTTCACTGTGCTAGGTTAAGGGAGACAGAGAGTAGGGCTGCTAAGGCTGCCAATTAGGATTGGTATATAATTGGTTAACTTTTTTTAAGAAAATGTGAGACAATCATTGACTATACTCCTAATTTTAGTTTTCCATATAACTGGTTATTGTAGTTACAAAGAGACAGTATGTTCTCACAAGGAAGTCAGGAAGCCTGTGCAATAGGAGGGAACATGATTTGTACCATAACCTCAATGAAAACATCGTGCAACAGCTTGAAGACATCTGTCTTACAGCACTTTAATAATACAAAGCTCTACTCATTTTCATTGGGTTCAGAGCTGCCTAGTCATTTGATAGTTATCTTTCATTTCAATTGTATTACATTAGGGAAGTAGTTGCATAAAACTCTGAAAATACACAACAAGCAATAAAATAAATAAAAGAAAGCAAGTAGCATTTCTTTAATCAAGGAACTCATGGAAGATACTTAAGAAAGTTACTTATGGTATGTGCATTTTAAAAAGGTCAAATTAAATTAACCATTAATTTATAGCAGAATTGCCTGCAAAACTTGTCTTAGAAATCTAGTATAAACCAGCTGATATGGAGCATGAATTTATTTAAGTTCCCTCAATCTCTCTCCTACTGGACATAAATAAAGTGCAATGAAGTAGGAGTCTCATTTCTGGATGATTTGTGTATCTGGTAGAAGGACTTTTTGCAGTTAGGATTATTATTATTTATTAGGCATGATCAGAACTCAATAGACTGCACACAAACTATGCTTTCAGATTGTTTTCTTGGGTGAAGTAACAGAAAGCAAAACAAAATGGTTTTAGCTACATGTAGCAGAAGCGTGTTCATACAATTTTTAAATGTCTCAATTGAAATGCCTACAAGCTTCACTGCTGCCCACATGAAATGAAAATGGTTCAATACACTTATACCTCTATGTGCCCGATACATTATTTATACTGGAGAAAGATGAGGCAAGACATGGAGGACTACTCAGGAGACCAGATTAAACAGTCTCTTGATAAAAAATAAAACAGCAAAAGACTCTAGTACATTCAGCGTTTTTATTTACCTCTTCCACAATCTCAATTTTAGTTAGCATAGTAAAAAAAAAAATGCTTGAATTCATTACTCTGGGATAAAACAGGAATTCCTTCCCTGTACATTTTCTACAAATATCAATATCTTCTGTGGCATATTTCAGAAATATTCAGACAGCTTTGCAACCCCTCATCTGTTTCCACAGGACGGAGAAACACAGCAGATATTAGGCCATGCTTCCATTACAGTATATCCAAGAATTCCAGAAATACCCTAGTATTTTACAGGGAGCTCCATTCCTCAAGACACATAACTTGTTACACCTGAATTAGTCTCTCCCTACAGTAGCTAATAGCATTTCAAGACCAAGTCAACCAACTACAGAATTTGGGGAAGATTACAGAGATGTTGGAAGTGCTGCAATTCTGTCCTAATTCATGAGGAAGGGACTGCAGAACCACTACAATCTTTTTAGTGCAATTCCTTGTGACACAAGACACAACGCAGGAGAAAAACGTATGGTTTGTCCTGTCTATTTACCATGCCCCATCTTGGTAAAAATTTCTTGTGTTTCTATTTCAAACAAAAGTTTCCCTGTGGCAAGCTTATTCTTACCTTCAGACCTGGCAGGAAAACAGTAGACTTTCTAGGCAAACTCAGCAGAGAAACTGAAACTGGAATTAGGCTGGATAAAGAAGAATCCACCAGACTGCAAATTTAGAGGCAGGCTAAGGCAGCTTGTAACAGCTAGGCCAGCTCAGATGCCCAGAAGCGTTCTGCTCAGTTATGAAACAAAAAGGTCCAATCTTTTAATGGTAACAAACAGGTTGTTCCAAGACAAGTAGAATAAATGGTGCCACCTTTCCTGTGGATTTACACATTACTGACAGCAAAAATCCCATTTATCAGAGTCAATGCTGTTAATTTCCCTTCATATCCAATGGACCTGTTAAGTCCACCCATTCCTCAGCCATGACAGTAATAGCTCCAATGTACCCCATGCTTCTTCCTAGTCCCTCTCCACCTTCCCTTCATATCCCATGCTTCCTTTCCCTGGCTGCAAGCTGGCATGATGTAGCATTGGCTGTAGGTATTTTAAAGCTATGTACATATGCCAACTAGCAAACAGGTTCATGTTCAACATTCAAGTGGCAGGCCAAACAGAATATATCCTCTTACCTGGCAATTTTTGCACTGAGGACAAGTCACAACCTCTTGCTTCAGCAAAGTCACTAGTTTTCATGAAACTTGCAGAAACTTATCATCTTTCAGATCCTGAATCTTCTGTCTGAAGTGGTTATAGTATGACCACAGTTGCTGGCAGGTGAATGTAGGGAAGAGAGGAAGTCACAACTTCATTTTTCCTTCAAAAAATAAACTAAAATAATATTACGTGGACTGTTCCTATGCTATTAAACTTACCCTTGACAAACTGATCACATAGTTTTCTGAGGCAGGAATGGCATCCATCACAGGAGTGAGGTCCTTGGGTGCATCATACCCAATGAACCACATCATCCATTCTTGTGGTTGTTTCACAGGGTGTGTGTTATTCTTTGATGTTTTCTGGATAACCTATATGAATGGAAAAGATGAGAACAATTCAATGGGCTTGCAGTTCATAATGACTTATCATTCAGCAGATCTCAGTAAATTAGTACTAGCTTTTGAGATTGACTTGAATTTAATTCAATATCAACAGCTCACCATGGATAAAACGGATCCACATTTATTTATTTATTTCTGAGAGTTTTCTTTTTAATTAAAAATGTATCCTGCCTGAATGAATGCACATTGGCAAAAGCAGTTTGATATTGGAAAAAATATATACAATTTAATAATTTGTGAAGTTTATGATGCAATAATCTGAACAGTAATTGTACATCACTTGGAATGTGTAAAACACTGAGCTAGATGATATTGCATTATAGCTGATAATAAAGAGGCTTTTCCAAATCAAAGATATAATTCAGCAACGATTCCTGATATTTCCCATTAAAGTGTCTCTGGAGATTAAGTGCACATTTTATATACATGTATACATACACCTCCTATAAATAAGCACAAAATCAACACCAACTTTGCCAAACCCCTTCCATTCCCAATAGAACATAAAGTGAATGAAAAAGATAACACTGATAGAATCAAATATGCAATGTAATATTTCAAAAGCAATATACTTGCTTCAAGGCTAAAAATATCAAGAAGACTAAATTAGTTGGAGGCTTAAAATTAAGATTGCATGGCTCTGGTTTGCCTATTCTTTACTATTTGGTATGGCAAAAGCAACAAGATTAAAGCTTTTGAAAAAGTGCTAATTTGTTTATACTATATTTTGCCAATAACCCAAGCAGGGGAAAAAATTCTGTCTGGCAAGAAGCTCTAAATGAAGGAACAGAAAATTAGGTTTCTTAATGCATAAATATAAAAAAAGGAACCCTATTGTTCTCTTAATAGTCAGAAATTCTCTGAGGTTCAAGCTATCCTTGATCTGTTCCCTTGTGATACTTTCCAGAAGAAAGCCTATCTACAAGAAGTTCTAAATTAATATGAAGAGTTCACTTATGTTTGGCAACTGTGAATTATTCATTTACAGCAGATCTCACCACAGAGGATTGCAAGGTAATTACTGTCCCAGAGGTATTCCTTATACTGTAGTTAAGATGATGTATAGTATAGTTGAGATGATGCATCTGTGTCAAATATTTTTAAGAGCACACACCTGAACTGCTCTCCAGGTGCATTTCTACACTGATGGACTACATATCAGATGACCTATAAAGTTTTGCTGTCCTGGACATCTCAATGAAACTAAAGTATTAATGTGAAGTAAGTCACCAGAACTAAAAACTACCCAGCCCAGCCTTCTGATGGGCCACAATTAATGGTGTGGAAATCCTGAATCTCTAAAGCTGATGTTCACATTTTTAATGTATTGACTAGCTATGAGGGTTTGTTCAAACTGAATGTGCTGTTCAACACTCGGCTGGTATGCAGTTTAACATTCCCTATTAAGATCTTTCTTCCTGTCTGTAAGTATGACAGCATCTCACTCTTTGAAATTTCTCAGTATTTAAGGTTTCTTTCCATTAAACGTGTGCAAACAGCTTTGCCCTCAAGTCTTCAGAAAGATCTAGAAGGCAGCAGATTTCAATGGCAGTCCCAGCACAGCAACTGACCTGCTGGGTGATCCTGAGCTAATCCCCTCCGCCTCCACAGCTTTGTTTTCTTTTTCATCCTTTCACAACTCTGAGGAAGCAGGGACTTTCAGCTTTGAATTTTGAGCTATACGCTTCAAGAGAGCCCTGCAGCAGCACGGGAGTTTAAAGCAAAAGTTTTCCATTAAAGGTACAGAATTACAGATTTCTCTGTGGGTTGTCGCCTTGGATTTCCCTTAGCACCCAACAACTGGTCCAAACCTTCACTGAAGGCAAAAGGCAGGCAAAATGCCCTCACTGTCTTTCTGGGTAATCAAGACTGTGAAGCTCTGTAAATAATCACCACAATGACATCCTTTTGGATCAGCCATGGACAGTTTTAGACCAAAATGGAAAATGACAATGACAAGCCAGTAAGAACAACAGCATCTGAGGCAAAAAAAGACTCCAGATAATAGAAAGTTGTGGAAATGAGAGCAGGACCAAATCTCTCTTCTATTTTCTCTATTGATTTCACCTCCAATTCTTGGCTGGTCTTTCCCTGCCCATACTAAAAGCCATCACCAAGTCCTGCAGCAGCAAACACATGAAGGGCATGATACTTACTTGCTTAGTCAGCAAGGCTGTATGCAATAATGAAGAGTTGTCGTGCAAGGTTGCAGCGATGGAGGCTATTTAGGGAGCACTCAGAGGAATTCTCTCATACCTAGCCAATTTTTAGTGGTAATAGAGAACAGGGTAGCACATAGACTTCAGGAATGTCTGTAAAGATGGATCTACTTGTACAGAAGAGCTTATAAACTAAGTTAAGAGAAAAGTGAAGGAGAAAGAAGGACAAGGCAGAAGGACAATATGATTATGTAGTCACTTGGGAAACTAATAAATATGAATTGAAGATAACACAGTAGGGTTTGGTTTTGTTTTGCTTTGCTTTAAATATAATTGTATTAACTTTCGCTTTTAGTCTATAAATAGCTAAGTTGAAAAGTCTCATTGCCAGAAGATGTTCAAGGAGTAAATTCAGCAGGAGAGTAAAGGATGCAAGTTCAATGTCAACAGGCATGGAGTTCCTGGCAAATGACACATTTTGCATAAAACCACAGTGAGATAAACTTGCTTTGTGCTGACCAGAAGGCATGGGAGCATGCCATGGAAAAGTAAAAAAAAAAAAAAAAAAAAAAGGAAAAGTTTTAAAAAAAAAAAAAAGAGAGAGATGCTTCCTATGCTTCCTAGAGCCTCCTGAGAGATTCTAGACTTGAGAAAAGTTTTTGTTTGTTTGTTTTTAAGTAATGTTTCTATTTGAATTTGAATAAAACAAAACAAAGGCAGCTGGTGCACTTCTAGGCCAGGTCACTTCTTTTTTTTTTTTCAAACTTGTTGGTTTATTTACGTTGATGTGAAAATTTAATGTAACTAAAACAGAAGTTAACACACTTTAGGATTTAAAAAAGCAACTAGAAATAAACATCTGAGTGGTATACAACTTCAAAAAATGACAATAGCCTCTAGAAAGCAACAGGTTGCAAGAATGAAGATACCCAACCATAGACAGAATGACAGTAAGGCAGAGAGGTAATATTCTAGCTCATCCAATCCAAAGAGAAAGTATTTATTTTGCTTTAGACACTCATGCCTTTTGTTTCTGAGTTTCTGAGGCTTATCTCAGCATCTCAGTGCTGACAGTTCCTTACCCATCAGGAAAATCCCAGGCCTTGTAAAAAGCATCCATTTCTGTAAAACAGAGAGATCTGGCCCTCTTCCTCTTCATATGCCAGTGCCAGTACCTATTTGTATTTGACCACTCTAGCACAAAACTTAGACTTATATAAGCCATACAAAAAGCAGTGTGATGTACATGGGCCAATGATGATTTATATTGAACTGTGACTACTAAAGCTCATACAATGAAGTACTGAAAAGGTAGCACATTTAAAATCAAAGAAAAGAAGAGTGAAATCAAGTACTACATGTTTTTAACCACAGAAACTCGCCCTGTCACAAAGACACAGAAGTGTTGTGTGAAGACCACAACGCCACAAGCCAAACAAAATGCATGCTGAGAAATCATCACGGAAAGCTCTGATAATCCCCCTGCTGTTGAATCATCAAGAAATGATAATGCCAGAACACCAATAACGTGCCAAAGGCCACTGTCACACACTGACATCAACAACTGCTGGCGTTTTCATATAGCTCCCAACAAGATAGTGGCTTGCTATATGCAGATGAGGACTACAGGTCTGTACTTACACCTGGTGAAACAGAGCACCCTCTCAAGGACCTTCTGAGCACCCATATGCCACTGGCACATCAGTGTAACCCTTCCTCTTCCTTATCACCCAGGAAGCAGCTGGGGTTGGGCAAGTCAAGGCAATCATCTCTCATTAGGTAACATATCACCCATTCCCTGAAGCACTGCTACCCATGGATTTCTAAGGCTTTAATCAGTGAGAGTGCGTGCATTGCACTTACAGCTTCTCCATCACCAAGACAAGGAAAGAAAACTGAAGGAAGTTGGAGAAAAGGCACTCCAGCATTTTAGATCATAATTCAGAGACAATAACTGAGAATGCAGGCAGTTATTTTGTTTCTGTCAGCTTGAGGTTTTCAGTGAACAGCAAACTGTGTTTGCTTCACTCCTCGAAAAAAAAAAAAAAAAAAAAAAAAAAAAAAGAGATTATAGTAAGCAGCCCCAAAATTGTGATATACACTGTATTATTATGTATTATTATGTGTGTATATATATATATATAATTTAATCAATTTAAACATACTGTAATGAGGGTACTATCTAATCTGCAGCTCAGTTAAAGACAGCAGGCTGCCAGTGACCCTTGAGGCTGTGTGATACACTCAAACTGCCTGCGGGTGTTTCAAAGAGGCAGAGTCCAGTGCCCTGTTCTACTGACACTATGTGGCACACACCTCAGCAAATAAAATTACACATCAGCAATGGATACTGCTAAATGCCTTGCTCTCAAAGCCAAAGCATGAAAGCTCTTCTGCTTAAGTGACAGCCGAACATATACCCAAAGTATTGCTTTTCTTTCTCACCTCTGGTTTTATGTCCGTCCTTTCCATCCTGTTATTATTCTTATTTAAAGCACAGCAATGTCCGGAATGCTTACATCATGCAAACACATAACAGACACCTGAGTTTCCAGATGAAGTAAACAGCACATAAAATTAAGATGTGTAAGCTTAAAAGTGTATGCTGGGGGTGGAGATGCAAATGGTTTAAGTGACTTGCCCAAGGTCAAGTGGACTTTCCCAGTGGGTGTAGATAGGAAAACTACTTTGTTAAATGGTCAGATCAAGATAATATATCATGCTTTTCCTATACAGTGAACAGTACACAGACTCTCATCCAGAATACTAAATTTAAGGTCATGGACTTCAGCCAGCTTAAAGCTAAACACGTAATTAAGACCTTGGCTAGATAGAGGTTCAGTTAAGCTTGCAAATTGGTGCACAGCCATCCCCTGATTTCAGACCACCTGTACTTCTGCAACAACAGTCCCTGTTCTCAGATATAAAAGAGAGTTTAATGCAGATGTATCAATAGGAATCACATTCACGTGTCAGAAAGGTATAATTTGCTACTCTTAGGAATCAATGGAGTTCTTCCAGACTTTCATCTGCATAATAAAATGAAAATTGCTGTTCAAATTCATTCCTTGATGTCTTGCTGATTTTTCCCTCCCACTGAATAGCTACATTATTTTCTAGATATATTAAGTTCACATCCCTGAACTTTAATTTTTTAATATATTTTCCAGCCCTTTCTTCAGCTTTTAAGTACCTCTGCAAATGTAAACGTGTCTCTCTTCACAAACATTCACCACTTTTCATTATTTAGCAGTTTCTGGGGATTTCCATTTTGTTTCTTTTCCAGATCAATAACAAAAATATTTAGTATGATATGCAAGTTACTCAACCAGACATCTTTCCTATACATCTACTGGATACCCCAGTTCTCGAGCCACTTGACAACACCCTGTATAAGCCAATTGGAAATAATTTTCAGTTGAGCATTCAGGAGGCATTCAATCTCCTCTCTCCACTCTCCTGTGAAATTCACAGGCATAATAGAGATGTTTGTACAATGTGATACATGTGGAGACTAAAAAGAATAACAGAGCCTTGCAAGTAAAGTTGTAATTATGGAAAGTGTATAGCAAGGCTTAAAGTACGACAACCTCCCCCCATCAGCTTCAGAGCATCTCTTCTATCTACCTCCTCAAAGCTACCTAATTCTCACCTGTGCAAGCACTGGTTTCACAGCCTGGACAAACCCATTGAGAGTGGGGAGCTTTTTCTCATCTACAACAGAAGAGGTGACAGAGGGTTTTGTTGCACACTAGTAGTCCTTCACAGCTTTCTAACCTCTCTCATTCAATAAATTTACTTGTGTATTTCTTTAAGTGCAAGCTGTTAGAATTGTATGCGACTTTTCATTGAATACAACAGTATTGCAGAGAACTCACATTTGAGCACCCACTGGAATCTGCATTATTGCACTTAGTAACTCACTTCTGCTTCTGTTCTTTAGAGCACTTCAGATAATGAACACATTTTTGTTGTTGTTATTATTGTTTGTTTTGTTGGTTTTTTTAAGCATATATCTTAACAGTTCTGTCACCACAGTTTCTGCTTTCACATCCAATATTTTTATTCCTGCTGATGTGCGGTATCAAAATCCCTGGCATGGAGTTTTTAAATTATAAACATCCTCTAAATAGATTATTTGCTACCAAAGCACTTTATTAAACCTCCTCCCTTGAACTACTAATTCACTTCTAATTTTTGAAGGACAAGGTTATGAGGGGACATATGGCCCTTGCAGCATTTATTATTTAAAAAAAAAAATAAAAAATAAAACTGTTATAAACTCAGGCAGCACCACAGCCATCTGTGAAGCATTAATGATATAAAAAAAAAAAAAAAAAAAAAAAGGAAAAAAATAGAGCCACTTGTTCATTAAAGATTTTGTTTGTTTGTTTGTTTGTTTAACTGGAACAGAGCTAGTAGATACCATGATGATTTTAACATTTATATGGAAATAATATTCCTGGTTTTGTTTCCGTAAGGATCAGCAATATTTACCCTTTCACATACAGCCTGACTCTAAAAGTGGGAAGAATCATCATGGACCCCATGAGGTTATGAACCACCATCAATCACAATGGTGTGAAAACTAATGATAATTTGCCCAGGACAGAAGAGGTCAACACTCTATCTTATTTAGCCTTATCTGCACCTAGCCAAATATGCCACCTGAAAAATAGATCTCAATATTTATGTTGTAAAGCCCAACTCTTTCATTATCTTTGTCTTCTTTTCCACCTAACCCCCCTAGTGTAAAATATGAAACACAATGAAATATCTTTCTGGCTTATTATACTCAAGTAAGAACCAAGTTTCATGAAACGAGAATCAATCTCAAAAGCTTTGAAGTAATTTTAGAGGAACTATGGTGATCAGAATAAAGGGGCTAGAAGTAAAATACAATGGCATATAGGACAAGACATTTCCTTCCTTCCTTTTAAAATCAAATGTATAGTGGAATTTTTCTGCTCTGTTTATAAGACTGTTATTCTTCCACTTTCCACTGCTAGAAACATTTGTTCTGCCACCTTCCTTAACAAGAAAATCACATAGAGAGTAATTGCATATAAGACTTAGAACAAATACATATCACTCTCTTTCTGAAAGCATATATACCATAATTTGATTATGTCTAATAATATCCCTATAATTATAATTTAATCATCTTACAATCATTTCTTATAGGTTTCACTTTGAATCACTATTTTAACACTTGATGAATAAAATTAATCTGTCAAACATATAAAGGAAATTCATATTGAGACCATATATGGGAACATAATTATAGAGCAATTAAAGTACAATTGCATTATGATTACTAGAAAATTTATAGTAACCGACATAGTAAAGACATAATTCTCTTTTAATACAGTGTGTTAGATTATTTTCTTTTTTGTATTTTATTTTAGCAGTTCCTTCATCTCGATTTTTTTTCCAAGGTTAATTTTACATGGAAGCTTATTTAAAAAAAAAATTCTCATAGACACTTAAGTTTCTTGAGCTGCATACCTAATATAAAGCAACTACTAGGTAGCATTACTATAATCTTAGTTTTATTGACATGAGTGTTAAACTAGCACTAGCACCAGGTACTAGTTAAATGTGCTAGGTCATTCAGTGGGAAACATGAGCCTTGCTCTAGGAAACCATTTATATTCAAGACACAAGATTAATTCAAATCTGTCTTGAAAGCAATTCTTAACTGCACATTTTACTAAACATTATAGTGTGAACCATCCTTTGTACCAGGACCCAATTCTGTAAAGCACTTGAGATATGCTTAAGCCTCCCTCAAATAACCAAAAGAATGAATCAGTCTCACTTTGTGAAGACTCCCATCCCTAATGCAGTGAACTGAGTATGGTAGATATGCTTTCACCAGTGTAACAGTTTTCCCTTTTTCTTTCACTGTTTCTCATTTCTTACAGAGAATCTTTGTAATCAGCTGCAGTTTTGTCATTCTTACTGGCTTTAGCTGTCCTCTAACTCTCTTAACACAGCCCACAAACATCTATATCACGTTAAAAATGTAATAGCTGCATCTGGAAGAGGAAACATTTTCTAGTATCTGTGATTTGCACAATGGACCAAATATCCAACCTTAGGCTGTAAGTTAGAGATATGTTTTGCAGCTAAGCCTTTATGCATCCACAGTGTAAATAGAAATAGTTCTTTGTTCACATAACAATTAGATTAAGTATCTGGATGTTACTCATCTGTGCATGCAAATTTGGAAACAGGCATGAATATGCAAATTTTGAATTATAAACACTTTTTAAAAGACTAGCCCATGACATCTCAGTCACTCTCCTCAGTGTATTTAATCAAGTGCCTTGTTTAATACTTAAACACAATTCACATAACTATAAACAATGAAAGGCTGAGAAAACAGGAGAAACGGATAAGAGCTATTGCATAGGAAATTAATTTAATAGATTTATAACAACAGAAACTTTTTGTGAATTAATGTGCAACTAGTGAGTGATAAGTCCTTGAAGCAATCTGTTATACTAGTACATCCCAACAGGTAAATTAAGGTAGAAGAGAGAGATTTTCTAAGTGTTTATTTATAATTGGTGAAAAATATGTTTATTGTAAGAATTATTCATGATGTACTGTGCCTCAACTATTCATTTCCATGTTAAGACTTAGATGTTGTCAATGATGTGACTGTAATTTAACTAAATACAGATATTTTTTAAATAGCTTAAAAAAAAAAAAAAAAAAAAAAAAAAAAACTTATTTCTAGAAATATTGGCGGGAAGGGGAAATATTAAAGAGGACTGAAGAAACTGACCAACTGACCTAGAAGGGAAGACAAATCTGCCAAAATTGCTACACTTATATTAAGAACCATTTTATTTTTTTCATAAATACCATGAAATACCTGGAGAGACAAAATTGGCTTTTCAAAGGTGTGTCATACAAGAGAGGATAAGTGGCCCAGCGTGTAGAGCTCAAGACTAGGACTTGAGGTAGCTGGTTTCAGGTACATCATCTGTCATGAATGATCATTTGTGTGATCACGGATGAGACACTTGGGACTGAGTGGAATGTAACTTAAACCACAGATCATCTGCAGCTCAATACCAGGTTTTATACTGGGTACTATAGTCCTTAAGCTGATGCAATCTGGAGCTCACAAGTCACTCACCTGAGTGTTGACCCAGGAGCCATGTGCCATTTGCACTCACCTCCAAACTGAAGGAGCCCATGCTAGTTTCAAACTGGGTCAGACAGGTCTATGTTTTGGAGCCTTGGTGCAGATGCAGTCTCTCCTCTGCTTTGGTTCCCACCTCTTCCTAAAGCAGTGTTGCAGGGGTAAAAGAAGAAAGCTCATGAACTCTCATAAACAATAGAAAAGGGGGAAAGAGTGGAATCTAGTCTAGTAGACATCTAGGAGAAGCTGTAAGAAGTTCAACCAACATTCCTATCAACTGTTTTCAAACTAGTACCAGTGCCATGACAGCTAACACAGGAGAAAGATTAACCAAAACAGTTGGAGTCTTTGTTTGTTTCCCTTTGCACCCATTGTTTACTTCTAAAAGTAGAAAATAAAAGAAAACCTTGAAAACATAGCATATGAATGAAACAATGACATCTGTCTGATTTTGCAAAGGACCTATAACAAGAATTGTAAAACAGGCCAATCATTTCCATGTGCACTATCTTAGAATCCAGTAATGATACATTACTGGCTATAATGATCTCCATTTCAGTGCTCATCAACAAAGGTAAAGTTGGAGAGGGAAGACCACACTCTGAAGTTCTATACTGAGTGACTCCTCAGACCAGAGATGGTCTGAACAAATACCATACAGAAAAAAAGAAAACAGACAAAACACGGTCCACTCTCCTTAAACTCCACTTTCAAGAGGTGAAGAAGAAAAGAAGCAGAGAAACGTCTTGCATAAATAATGACAAAGCAAAACGGAAGCAAAAATTCAGCATTGGTTGGGAGAAGTCTCCTAAAAGATAATTCTTTTCACGATCATTTGCACAGTCATTTGAACAATCATCATTAGAATCATCTCACCTGCTGACTAGGGTCCACGTTCTGCTTTCCCTGTTCTCCTGCTTGTTTTTATATAGGTATACAACAGTCTCTTTTTAACATAAATTTAAACTATCTAAAGTACTGTTTACCAGTGATGTAACACATGAGACAGGAACACAGACTAAATACTTGTCTCAACAGCCTGAAAGCAAAGCTGGCAACAGCCACCTCTTTATAAAAAAAATAAAAAATTAAAATAAGCAAGAGTGGAGCATCAGAGCAGTGCCAGTCTCTGGCTGTCTCTTCTCTGAGGTGGCACTGCATCTGATCTCCTACTAGAATACCAAAAAGGTATTACATTATTACATATACATCTTTAAAGGGAAGCAATAACTCCTAAAGCCTTGGGTGAATATATCTTAAGGCCTGAGATTCAAACAGAAAGAGAAATGTGACAACGAAAATATAATAAAATGGGGGGAAAAAAAAAAAAAAGAAAGAAAAAAAAGAGCTTACTGTATATATCAAACTGATAAACTGTCATTAAATAATGGGTACACTTACAGGTTTTCTTTCTTATTTAATTTCCTACAGCAACAAGACCTTCATATTATAATTCTGCTGCTATTTGTGACAGCTTGTGGCATATTAGAGGTACTTTTTGAAAGGCAGTCTCTGTATAATATTAGTGTTGTGAGGCTCTGATTTAGGTATAGTCATCTTCTGTCAGGGGCCCTGGAAAGTCTGGACTAATTCAGGTAGACAAGAGTAAACAGAAGGATGCCTAGTGATTTCAAAGAGGACCTGAAGGACAGATGAGACAAAGTACAAAGCCTTGAACTTAGGTGGATGGGACAGGGAAACAACACTGAAGAGAAGGGCCCTCAGTTATTTGCTTTTCCATTATATGTAAATCTTGTCATTCCTTTTTCTACTCAAAGGTACATCCATAATTTAGGTTTCTAAAGCCAAAATTTAAAATCCATAAAATGTACACTTAAATGGTGGAAATGAATTACAGAGAGGCTGAGGATGCATAGGCGTAAATCCACAAGGAGTCTTAATGATTTTTTTGTCTTGGTATTAATACATTTTGGAATAAGGAAAGCGGATTTTCATGAGACACACAAAGTTCAAACCTGTCATCACTGTTCACCCTGTTTTCACTTGGTTGAGTGCTGGTAGAAAAGTATTTAGGATTTGATATTCTTCTTTATACCTGCTAGTCATAAAACATCCCTCTGGCTTTACATTCTTCTCTCTTTTCCTTAATTTTATCTTATTTAATATTCATTCATAGCCTCTGTAAATACACAGAGCCATGCAAATCTAGAAATTAAATCTGGCAGACATCCCTGGAGCACAATCAGGCTGCCCTGGCAAAGGGTTAGAAGAGGTCTCTGACAGGATCCACACAAGAGGGTTGGAAGAGGACAGATTAAACCCTCATTCACACACGGGCAACATCCAAGGAGCAAGAGACTGCAGCTAACAAGGAGGAAAAAAAAATCTCCCAAAATCCTTAGCAAACTTCTTGGTTTGATGAGAATTAATGATTTTTTTTTCAACCTTTCATCTGTAACTGCCACTCTTTACATTACTTATGACCAAGCAGAAAGAATTATTCATAGTCATACAAGGCAAGCAAATGTTAGAGCATCCTCAAAAAGTGGTTTCCATAGCAAAAACAGTTTAGTACACTTTCCCCACAGTCACTTAGTAAAGCATTTGCTACAGTTTAAAATTTCATTGACCCACAGGAGAAAGAGATTAGAGGCTATATAAATGGGTCATGCTCATCACTTTGGGATGAAAAGCTGTCTGCAAGTTTGATGAATGAATAAATATTTGCATAGGCAGAGACTAACAAGGTTGCTTTTTAATAATCTTTTTTTTTTAAAAAAAAAAAAAAAAAACAGCGATGAAAAAAACACCTTCCATAAAGGCTAACAACATGGTGTGGGGGCGGTTGATCTGACTCTTCACATCAGATGAAGATTCAGAGTGATCTTGTCTGTGCAGGCCCTTTATCAATACTTCTTCTCTGAACACCTTTAGATAAAACTGTTCACTGGCACTCTTTCTGCTCTCAGATTTCTTCACCTGCCATTTAATACTCCAGTTCTGCTTTATTATCAGGAAAGGGTTCTTCACCAAGAGGGTGATTGAGCACTGGAACAGGCTTCCCAGGGAAGCGGTCACGGCACTGAGCCTGAAAGAATTCAAGTTCTTAAGCCCCTTCCATTGTATTTTCTCCCCTTTTTTCTTTGCAGAGTGGCAGTGAGAGAGTGGTTGTGATAGAGTTTGGCTCCCTAGCAGGGTAAAACCACCACAACACTATACATAATGCCACACTAATGCTCCTACCAGTCTTCTGGGTACATCAGGAACATCAATTCCCAAGCCTTTTCACGCTGGAATTTCAAAAAACCTGTGAACCAGACAATAGCGGCACAATTTTTTAGCCTGACCTGCTGATATCTGGACAGCAATGTGTCAAACGTAAATACTAAGTTTGACCACAATTGAGTATTTCCTGCAACCAGAGATAAATCTTTAAAATGTGGCAAAAAAAAATCTTTCTCTGTGGCAAACAGAACACAGTTCTTTGGTACTGCAGAGTTTTACATAAACTTCAAATAGATTCTGGTCCCAATTAGTCATGTATTTTTCCTCATTCTTCCTGAAACATCTGTCTTTTCACACTAAGTGATGGTTTAATAAAAACAGAGGAAGAGTACATTTCTGCATGGATACTCAGTAAGAATACTTAACTGACAAGAGCTGCAGAGGTCACACCTCATCGGTATTTCAATATTTCCCTGTGCTACGTGAATATATTTGCAATATTTCCTTCTCTACTTTTCTGCTTGGGCTAATGCTTACCCATCTTAGGCAATATAAAAAAAAAAAAAAAAAAAAGTAAGTATTTCAAGTCTTTAAGATTTTAAGATACATTACCACATATTTATGTAGATTTATCTAGATTCTTGAGCTAATTAAGGAACTACACATATCTATTAATGAGATTTATTCACCTTCATAAAGTCTGGCAACAAGTTCTTAAAATATTTTGATTTCACAGTCTCAAACAATTTCCATACAAGATACAATAAAGCCACTGATTTGATTCCAGATAATGTAACTGCAAAAATTTTTTCTTCACTAGCATCCAGTGTCACATGTTAGATTAACTTACACCCATCAAAGTATTGCCCTGTCTTCTTTGGCATAAGAAAATGCTAAGAACTTGAGTCTTTCTTTTTGATCAAGTTTCAGTTGTCAAAGGTGGTGGCAAATATCTTAAATTTTTTAATAAGTTAATTTCAGACATGCTATGAAATAAGCTTTTAAAACCTTCAGTCCCTCTTTATTTATTACAATAATCAGTGGGTTGTTTTGCGTTGTTGGTTGTTTTTTTTGGTTTTTGTTTTTTTTTTTTGATTCTGTCACATAACAGCATGTCAGAACTCTGTTACTTCTTTGAGACATCTGCTATTTACGGGGAAAAAAATCCTTCCCTAAAGAAACCTAAAAAAAATAATATTTCTGCATATGTAAAATGGAATTCATTTATAAGCATGAAGAAAGTTATGTATGATGTTGGGTTTTTCTCCCTAAACAATAATGACTTTTATATAAAAACTTATTTCTCCAGAACTACTGGAATAATATTTTTTCCCAAAATAATTATGGGACTGATTCACGCTTGCATTACTCCCATACCAAAATACATTTAAATCAATTGACTTTAAAACTGAAATTATGCTGCAATGAGTCAGTTTTTACATATATTTAAAACAAACTATTTCCAGGTATTTTTCCTTTTAATATTAAGCACCCTCTCTAATGCATATGCTTCTGTACCTGAATACTGAACTATTCATATGTACCCTTATTAACTCTTAGAGGTTCCCTTATCCTTCACTTTTTGTTTGTGCAAGACAAAAATGATGAACTGTTGAAACTTTACATAAAACAATGAGAAGAAGTGAAAATCTCTATTTTCTTCCCTCACAACAACCTGTCAATTCTTCCTGCTCTTGCCTTTATAAAGATCACTAAACCCCTTCGTGGGGAGCCCTTCCTCAGCCAAATGCTGCTGGGTACTCCAATGATTACCTTTCCATCTCATGAGTAGAGATGGACTTCCAAATTTGTACATCATTAAAGCAGAAGGCATCAGATGCAAACTACTGGACTCTAGCACAACTACTGATTCTTCAGGGATCTCTCTCTGTGTTTCTTGCAAATAAAAGTATTTTACATAACAAAATGCATATTCAAATATATGACTGAAATGAAGGAGTTAGGTATCCAGTATCATGAAGTGTCACAAAAAGAAGTGTGTACCACTGCAATAGATACTTAAGTGTGACAGTTCCTATTTTGAAAAAGGACACAATTAAAATATATGTATGCTGACACAGACACTAGGTACAATGTAGATGAACATAAGCAATAGTTAATATCATTTTAGGTTTTATTAAAGATACTAGTAAAGCACTGAGCTTGATTTTCTGCTTAATTGATTTTTTTTTTATGAATAGGCTTGCCAAGAGTAGCAGTTACACAGTCTTAAAATCAAGAATCACCTCCAAAAAAATTCTGCAGTGTTGAAAATGTTTCTACCTATAGACTATTCACTCAAGCCAACCTGATTTCACAGATAAATTCATTGATACATCACAATTCATTCTCAGAATTGAAATGAAAACTGGACTTCACCCATCAGTACAAACACAGGAACACACAAATGGAGATGCATTTTCTAAACTGTGTAGTTACCTGTTTAAGCATGACTCCAAACGCAGACAGAAAATCTTTGAATTTACTCAGTTTCAGTTTATGACCTTAATCATACTAAAATGTGCACACTCTCCTTGTGTGTTTCTCCTGCTCAAAGACTTCAGCCTTCAGTCATGTTAAGCTAGGATCCTGGGTATTGCAGATGTCCTTATATTTATTAATAAATTCCTTCCATTGCAGAACTATTAATGCTCTGTATGACGTTCTAAGAGAAAACAGAGATACCTGACAGAAGCCATTTGACTTCTAGCTGACGCACACTCCACAGAAAAAGGTCTAAAATGTCAGTCAAACAAAGTTGTGTAATCATAAATAATAATAATCAAATAATAATCAACAATTGCCATCAGTGATATATCATAATATTTTCATTATTTTCATGTAGAAGCCATTACCTAATTCCAGAAAATCACCCCCAGACATTCCACAATTCCAAGTTTAAGTTGATTTTTCCTTAATCCAGGCCTCTGTTTTTCACTTTGAGCTTTTAAACAAAGTGTTCGTGACTGTGACAGAATATTCTATATCTAAGAAGATAACATACTTTGATGAGAAAAAGACAGTTAAAATAAGAGACAAAGTTTACATTACTCCTTTATTATTCCTTCCAATATTGCAAGAAAATATTTTCCAGGATTTTCATCTGCTTTTTCCACTTCTCTTTTTAGTTGCACGCTCACATACACAGTGTAGCAGAATCCATGTTAAATATATCAACTCTTTACTGAGTCTATAGACTAAACAAGCAGATCAAAACTATATGCAAATCACATAACCACTGCTTGATGATGATTTTTTGCCAATGGGTATCTTCAATTGACACAGATATTGGATTAAGTGCTAGAGAAGACAGGACAAATCTGTTTTCTGTACAACCACAAAATTCATGATTGAGACTTAGCAGCTTCCATCTGAGTCTCCACATTCCACCGAAAACAAGCAGTATGGCCATCCTGTGATAATGGCTGTGATAATAGAGATTTGTTTCCTATCTGTCTCCTCAGGCACTTGTTATTGTCACTTACTGTATAAGCAGTAGTCATCAAGGACAAACATGTTCTGCATTCAGATAAGACAAAATAAACAGTCAAAAATTTAGTTAGCATTAAATGACTAAACACACATGTAAAGCATTTGTTACAGGTGCTTGTGGACCTTTGGTGATCGAGTAGCTAGAAGCAGTTAGCAGTCAAAACCCAAAACCCAACATCCCTGTTGTTGGTTTTGTTTTCTTTTGTTTTTTCTCCTCTAGCTGCACAGTAATACAAGCACTGAAAAAAAACTTTCAAGTCCTATCTCTCTTGCCTCATACATACATATATATATATATATATATATAATAATTTCATTAAAGTGCAAAGTCATTAGGATCCAGTTTCCACATTCCTCAGATATATGTGAACAACTCTTGACAGTTCACTGCCTCCAGCAACTTACCAGCAACAAAGAGCACCAGGTGGGAAACTAAAGGTCCCGTTGATGGGGCAGACATTTCGGAAATAAATTGCCTGCTTCAGCCCACATTAAGAAGAGAGTAGAAAGTTGGGGATGAATCAGGGACCTGGAGAGTCTTCGAGTTTATATGTTTGCCAAATCACACTCTTCTGCATTACTACTAATGCCCTGCTTTAAGAGGACTGGCCAGTATGACATCCTGGTAATGCAGGGCACATCCAAAATACCCTGAAGTCTGCAAAATCTACAAAAGTAACATAAATCTGCAGGTAGGATTTTTCTTTAATGTGACTCCAGATAATGTACCACACCAAGGAGATACTACATGGTGCAGAGATCATCTGATTTATTCATAGCAAAACGTTAGGATCTCTAAATTTCATAAATTCAGAATGAGTTTACTACTAAACATAGTATACATGAATATAATATATGTGATGTATAATATAAACATACAGGTGAGCACCACGGCGTACAGAAAGTCAAAAAAATACTGTTTTTTGAGTAATACATGCAGATTGATTTGATTTGCACAATGACAGTGTGAAATGTCAGATGAAAGAGTACCCCAGGGAACATGGTATCAATAAATCTGAGACTTTGAAAGTAATGATTTTTATTGCTGAGCAGAACTGCCTGATTTCCAAGTGAAATGCATCTAGAAATCACTTTAACCCTTCAATGGAATTTGAAAATAAAAGTGTCATCATCTGCTAAGCCAAATCATGTTCACAGCATCCAACAAAAGACTTGATTTCAGTTTTATGAAGGAATATGTTCGGTTCCAGTGACTGATAAGAATACAAAGAACCCTTGGCTGTCTTGATACGTGCACTAAGTTCAGTACCAATAGATTGACTTAAAAAACTGTACCTAACGTAAGTAAACTGAAGTAAATAAAAATAAAGAGGGTTAGTGTATCAAGTGCTTTTGGAACACATTCCTGGGCACATGAAGGACAAGGCACTGAGAAGAGGCAGTGCAGATTTACCAGGAGTAAGTCATGTGTGACCTGAGTGCCTCCTAGTGTAAAATGAATTGATTGTATGGACAGAGAGAGCAATGGATGGCACTGACCTCAACTTCAGCACAGCTTTTGACGCTCTCCCCCAAAGCAGCAACATGTTTAAGTTTTTTAAGTTTATACATTGCATTATGCTGGATGCATAGACAGCTACATGGATGGAAAACCAGTGGGGTGGGCAGGCTGAGAGGGCAGCTCTTGGTGGGTCACGCTCTACCTGGAGGTAGCAAGCAAAATACACTCGGGGCCTGTCCTGGCTTCTGTCCTTCAAATCTTCATCAATGACCTGAAGGAAGCCACAGAGGCTACTCTCATCAAGCTTGTACATGACACCAAATTGGGGCAGTGCTGGGGGGAGCAGTCGATCCACTGAAGGGCAGGGCCTCCATTCAGAGGCACCTGCAGAGGCTAGAGGAAAAGCCTAACAGGAACCTTGTGAAATTCATCAAGGACCAAGACCAAGTCCCACTCCTGGAAGGGAAGAAGCCCTGGCAATGACTCAGGCTACAGCTCTGTGGAAACCAGCCATTATGTCCTGGTGGACACTGGAGACGAGGGTGTGCCAGCTCAGGCCTGGCATCAATGAAAGCCAAGAGCATCATGGCTGCATTAACACCATCACAAACAGTGAACCAAGGGCGGGGATTCTCATTGCTTTTTACACCCCATCTAGAACATCCCTGTACAATTCTTACAGGTGGGGTTGAATTTAAAAGTAGCTACCCAGAAGTCAGGCTTCTGTTCTGAGGTAGTTATCTACATGTAGTAAGGCACCTGCAGAAGTTGCTTCCTGTTGTTCTGATTTGATTTTAAAGTGGGGTATCACATTCAATCACCACAGAAGTGCTGTCGCTAAACTGGCAGACAGGAGCTCCTAGAAACAGGCAGGCATCTATCCTTCCCCTCTCTGTTAGTAAGACTGCAACTGCAGTAACTCTACTGCATAGTAACAATGACCATAGTAATCACCTTATGTACAAGCACCTTTACTTTCGCATTTTAGCCAGTTCTGATTGCTGGGCAAACATGCAGTTTCACAGATAATGCTGTGTGCAACAGCTGGCAAATACTACCTCAGTAATTGTGACCTCTGTACCAAAAGGCATGTATAATTGTGCTTGTACAATAAAGCATCTGACTGCTATGTGTGTACATATATATTCCCATTAAAATAACATTACTTTAATAGTTGCAGTGTGACAACAGCCATAAGGTAGTAGAAGAAACCCCGCAATCATTTTGTTGGAGTTTATTTAAAATATTTTATTGTTAATAAGGTTGGAAGATAGAGCCTCCTGCTAAATTAGCTGAGGAGTTTATGAGCCTTTGCAAGCCCTATATGCATTACTCTCTGGGTTGTTAACTCAAGATAGTGTTTTAGGCTTAGTCAACCTACAACATAATAAAGCTGTTTTCCTAAAGTTAAACTCAATATATTCCAAAATAAGTTCAAATTCTGACAGTCTTAAATGATTAATAAGCTTGCCTTACCTAATTTATATTAAAATTATTTGCCCAGTTCTGTAAAGAATGTCATTTTCTGAACTAAGACTAGGACCTCTAACCTGATCATGAATTTAAAAATAGTCAACATGAAAAGATAGCCTTTTAACTATAGAACTGTAAAAAGTCCATCATTGACTATGATTGTGGCTCACATGCAATCTACCAGAATGAATACTGACCAAACTACAAAGCTATCTCTAATAACAGTAGGAGCTTCTCCAAAAACTTCATTATTTGAAGCGTGCTCCAGATACAGCATCGGACCATAATGCCTTAGTTTGTATTATTATTTATAGGCACTTAAAAGGATAGGAGCAAAGAAAATAGGCGGCATAGGCAGATTTTAAATTCATGTGCCTGTTCTATTTGCATAGCTGTTGTTTGAACAGGAGAAAGAGCTTGAAAATGCACACGTGACCTTTTTAATTGAGTTTTGTCCAATGCTTTCCATAATACAATACTTTTACCCAGTATGCTCAGCATCTTCACAGACCTCCCAAACAGCTATGTAATATCTGGTCTGTCTCTTCTCCAGTTTCTCACCTGCACAGTAAAAATAAATAAATAAATAAATAAGAAAGAATGATAATTTAAAAAATCTAAACCAGGTTGCATTTGCACTTTATTTTTTGATAGATTTATCCCTCCTCACTACACTGGTCCATGATATCTCTCTATCCATGTCAAATTTTCATATCTCACTTTTCTCATTAATTTGAGTACAAGTATTCAGTAAGAAATGTCTCAAAATGTATCAAGAATGCATAATGTCCTTTCTACCACTTGAGTTGGTACAATCTTTCTGTTACTGAATAAAATCTCAAAAATACCCCCTTGCCCCTTATACCTAGGAACAGTGCTGTGGATTCTAGCAGCACTTCACCTGTACCCAGCAAGCCTAAATGATCTACACGGAGTGCCACACCATGTCTAGAGCTGATAGCTCACACACTGCAACATGCATCAAAAATACACTTCTGCAAACTCACTTTCCTTCAGCTTACACTCAGCCTGTATTGCTTCACTGATACTGTAATACAAACCCGCAGAAAGTACCAGTACAAGGAAATCACCTTTGAACAAGACTAAAATAAATGCATAGAGTCAACTGACATTTTCTGCTTGATTCAGGGAGCTTTTGGAGCACAATCTCTGAAGAGAAACAGATTTTCAGCTTCACATTGCATCCATTCCTGCAGATATTAAAAATATTTTCATTGAAAATTGAACATTTGCAACCAGCAGCGGTTAAAGACAATAAGAGCAAAATGCCAGAGATGCATGAAATCAGTCTTCCCGATGTAATATCACTAGAAAGTCTTCCCGATGTAATATCACTAGAAGATCCCATAAACGTATAGTGATCCTAAACAGTAAAGAAAAAGTCTTTCTGAAGTATGATATTAGATGTGCATTATTTGAGGTGTCACCCTGTTTTCCAAGCCTTCAGGAAAAGTATTTGAAATGCCTAGAAAGCTATATATCAAAAAATAAAAATAAAATAAAAATAAATAGTATTCAGCCAGAATTTCAGGACAGAGGTAATGAACCTTTTTTCTCTCACGCATGGCAAACAGCCTCCATCCTCCTAAACTGGAACAAACTGAAAAGGTGTGCTAATTGCTATCTACAATAAAAAAGGTATTTTCTCTGCTTCCTTTTAGCCCTGATGAATTGCCTTCAGGGAGCTGTCATTTATAACAGTTTGTGTTGTTGTTGTTGCTGCTGTTGCTATTATTTTGTTTTGCTAATTTTTGCTGATAGCACAGAATAGTGCCATCTTTGTTTTTGAAGCCAGAAAATGATTTCATTCTGTGTTCCCCTGATATCCAGGAACTAGATTAAATGACACTGAAACAAGGGTTAGTCCAGTTTTATTACTGCTCTGTGTATATGTGTACATCTGTGCACGCACCAGAGCAAATTAAAGTAGCATTGCTTAAGGCATTTTGCATTTCAAGATCTTAAAATAACCAACTTCTGAGTCTTTATTAGCCTTATTGTTACATTAAAACTACATCAGTCCCCGAATATTCTTGCATCATCAATAACATAACATTTACTGCTGAATCTTTCCCACTTTTGAGCCTGTGGTTGCCTTTTTCCCTCTTTGAGCCTGTGGTTGCCTTTCTGTTCTCCATAGCCTGCAATATTCCTTCAAGTAGGGAAACAAAACAGCCCTGTAGTGCTCAGAAAATGAACTCACATCCTGACTCCTAGCTGTGATACAAAAGCAGTCTGCAATGAACTTCTCACTAAGCAAGGCACTTCAATTTCCTCAAACCAATGAGAAGAAAAACAAGAGCCAGATATTCAGAATAAAAATATTCATATTAAAATGACAATTAAAAGCATCATTTATAGACAGCAGTCTAACATAACAGAAAATATGATAACTGAAGAAGAATTAGAGAGGTAAAAAAAAAGAAATGGCTGTGGAATATCAATATATCCTGACTGGGTTATGTTCTCAAATGCAGCACTGAAATCAGTTTTATTTTCCTCAGAAGGATGCATTCACAATTTTGCTTTTATATCACTAAGGTTTTTGTACAAGAGCTTTTGTACTCATTATTTTCAAGCTTGCTCCTTTTCTTTATGGCACCATAAGTATCCTCCAATTTCACATATCTCAGTCTGGGGCTGCTCACCTGAAGCCTGCTTTCCAGAGGCAACAAGGCTTTCTGATCACCAGGGCTTTGTTGCTGAAGTGCTGTTTATTTTATACACCAACTCACATTTCTGTTTTTCATTTGTTAGGTAGCTACAAAGAGCTGGTGCGCTTTGCTTTCCTACTTCCTCAGCAGCTGCTTAAGGTTACGTATTCTCACAGCTAATATATGAAAATCAAAACCTGCTTCCACCAAACAAAGGCTGCTGAATGAAGGCTTAAACATAAAGTCCTTTATACCAGATACTACTTTTCTGCTGTCTATGGTCCTGTCAAGGAAAAAAGATGGACACAGCGATCACATGAATTAAAATTATTTTTAGTAATACCTTCACGTTTCACTTAAAAGAAAAAAAAAAAGAAAGAAAAACTTTTACTTTTGCCACTTGATAATGAACAATTATTGAAAACAAAGCCAACTTTGAAAGCCACTGATTTTTTTTATTTTATTTATAATTTTAATAAAATATTGTGTTTAGAGATTTACGGAATGTTCTTTAATTCCAGCTTTGAGAGAGAGCTGATGTTGAGCTGGGGAGGGAGGAATGAAAGAAACAGGCATAGAACATTAGCTCCACTATTATGTTTTTCTTGTCATATCCTGAAACCCCAGTATTGAGTCTGAAGGTGTGCTAAGTAAAATCTATCTAATAAAAGACTGGCTACACATAAAATTAAATCAGACATGCAGTTGGATTGTTTTCACAAAACACATGAACTAGTGGACCTGTCTTACCCAGAATAGTTTAACTGATTATGTTCATGAGATATCAAACTCACAAAACAGCAATAGTTCTAATTCTATGTGAAAAAAACATCTAATATGTTCTTCCTGCATTTTAACCAGGTACCAATTTAAGCCATTTGTAGCCTTGGTATTTTGGAAATTTGGCTACATAAAACATTTGATGTCTAATTAATTTAATTAAACATCTACATTATCAATTGCTTCTATGAATATGCAATTCATTACTAGTAAAGGTTTTATCAGATCAAGGACTTCAGAGAATGAGCAAATCTTTATGAGTACACATTCAAATAGAAGGAAATTTAGCCAACAGGTTTGCTGATGCAAGGTTTCTTACTAGAAGCTGGAGACAGAACAAATAGAACTTCCTTAGAAACAGAAGAGAGAGCATCATTTAAAACAACTGGTATTAAAAAGAAAGGGTGCTTGCAGAGAGACCTGATTCCTGAAGAAGACCCCAATATGGAAAAGCAAAGCATTTTCCTGGGCTACCTATGTGAAGACTGATGTATTTTTGATCTGTTGCCTTCTGTCTATTTGCTTCTCTTAACACATACCCATGAAAAGGTGAAATAAAGCCTCAGGGGAGCCACAAGGACTGGATCTCTCAAACATCGGAAATTTGGGAACCTGGGGAGTCATTTATCCTACCAGCAACAAGAAAGCAGAGCCCCAGCTCTTACACAAGTGGAGTCTGTTGTTCTGAAAGTCCATCTTCACCTTGCTCAGTTCAGGAAAGCAATAACCCTAGTCTAATACACAGGCTCCAAACTCAGTAAGGCAGGATGCTCCATTAGGACAGTTTCCCCAGCTTAGTGATATTGTTTACCAGTCTTTACCCATTAAGTACTCATTTGCTATGATTCCTCCAAAACAAGAAGCTTCTCTGCTATATTTTTGTTCAGAATAATCCCTAAAGCACTGTCATCAGAAAATTATACTGCACTTGTGAGGCCTTTGTGAGAAAAGTATTGCTACACTAATTTATGCCTCATCATAGAACTTTTAGAATCAACAGAGACAACAGAAGAGGAAAAAAAAAATCTTCAATAAGAGAATTTTCAGTTTTAGTAAAAGACCTAAAGCAAAAGACTTTTTTTCAGTAAAAGACCTAAAGATGATTGCTATCTAATTTAATCGCCTGGGGTGCACTACTAGTTACAACAACAAAAAAAGTATTTCTTAACTACTGAAAATTCCATATTGTCAGTAAAATCAGTAAATGTCAAGACAAAGCAAGTCCTGCATTTGAACTCATCTTCACTTGCTAAAGAGGAATTAATTTATATTCTCTACAGAGATATACTTCCTACTTAGTACATATTGTCATAACTCTGAGCATCACAGGCAATAAATCTGTAAAGTTCATTAACTCTGGGGATTATTTTATCAAAATATGTCCCTTCTTCTAAAGGGTGGCTTCAGTAATTAACAACTACTCTTCTACAGTAATAAAATATGGATATTAAAAAAACATTATGCAAATAATACAAAGTAATATCTTGGGTATTCTTTAAGCTAAGAACATTAGCAAATATTTTGTTTGAAGACCTGATAAATACTTTCAGTTGTTTGTGGCATGTGTTAATCATGAGGCAAAGTGTATTTTAATCTATTTAAGTGATAGATATTTTTCTTCTCACATGTATAAGGGAAAATCCCTAAGACAAAGACAGGCCCTCCATTATGAAAAGATATGTTTCCCAAGGAAGCAAGAAGGACAAGATGGCTCATGGCAACATATAAGTTTCTTAGAGGAATAGTCTTCTCTGGGGCTGCTGGACACAGGTGTTAGTGTGGATTGAATACCCAATTACAAGTCCCCAGCAGGATGTGGAAAAGTGATAGGCATTGTCTGGGTTTTGATGAGCACTGAAGATTCAGAGGTGTCTGTGATAATGGCATGTAGGGCATCCATCTTATGCCTATATAACATAAATTATTTTTTAAGCCTATGCTTACATAGAGACAGTCGGTACATTCCAAATATTCAGGGTTCTCCATGAGCAAGTGAAGACCAGATAACAGAATATAAGTGACAAGATATCAGAGCTCCCAGACATTAACAACATTCTTGGCCAAGTGGGAAGAATATCTTATTCTAAAAAGAGATATTTACAGCATAACTCACTCCACATGGATTTTGTTCTGGTTCATGTTTGTTTGACGGCATACAATTCCACCTGACTGTGCTGCATCATTTAACAGTTCCTTCTAGACCCGTTGTTCTATAGTTCTTTGACTGTCCAAGGCTCTCCCAAAGTAACACCTCCTACTTCACAGCTAATATATAAATGGTTGTACCTCATACGGTTTCGTGAGAGGAAAATCCTGCTTAAATAACTTAATTTTCTTTTATGACAAGGTTACCCATTTAGTTGACCCATTTAGAAGCCAGTAGATGTGATCTTTTTGGATTTCATCAAAGCATTTGAAGCTGTCTCTCACAGTATCGTACTGGACAAAATGTCCATCATACAGCTAGACAAGTACATAACGTGAAAGATGAACAACAGGCTGATGGACAGTGCTCAAAGGGTTATAGTAAATGGGGTTATATCAGGCTGGCAGCCAGTCACTAGTGGGGTTCCCCAGGGCTCCATTTTAGGGCCAGTTCCCCTCAATGTTTTTATAAATGGTCTGGATGCAGGACTCAAATGCATACTAAGTTTGCAGATGACATTAAATTGGGAGTGGCTGTTAGCTCCCTCAAGGATAGAGAGATCTTGACAAATTAAAGAGCTGTGCAATCACCAACAATATCATAAGAGCAA